TATGTCCATCTCTACACGTCTCATCTGTGTCCTTACACGTCTCATCTGTCTCCTTACACGTCTCATCTGTGTCCTTACACGTCTCATCTGTGTCCTTACACGTCTCATCTGTGTTCTTACACGTCTCATCTGTCTCCTTACACGTCTCATCTGTGTCCTTACACGTCTCATCTGTGTCCTTACACGTCTCATCTGTGTTCTTACACGTCTCATCTGTCTCCTTACACGTCTCATCTGTGTCCTTACACGTCTCATCTGTGTCCTTACGCGTCTCATCTGTGTTCTTACACGTCTCATCTGTCTCCTTACACGTCTCATCTGTGTCCTTACACGTCTCATCTGTGTCCTTACGCGTCTCATCTGTGTTCTTACACGTCTCATCTGTCTCCTTACACGTCTCATCTGTGTCCTTACGCGTCTCATCTGTGTTCTTACACGTCTCATCTGTCTCCTTACACGTCTCATCTGTGTTCTTACACGTCTCATCTGTCTCCTTACACGTCTCATCTGTGTTCTTACACGTCTCATCTGTCTCCTTACACGTCTCATCTGTCTCCTTACACGTCTCATCTGTCTCCTTACACGACACTTTTACATCTCCTGGAGACAGTTCATTTTTTTGAAAGTGGTTTGTCTCATTTCATGATTCAAATTTTTTTTATTCAAGATTCTATGACTGTATTTAAAATCCCTGTTAAAAAGGCTAATCTTTATTATATCCCAGATTTACAGTAGGAGCAAGAACCAAGACTGTTAAAACCACTGACTTTTAACAGGACAGACAGAAATGTAGAGGAGAAAGTAAAGCTTATATAAAGTGAGAAAAATAAACAGTTTTGAAATAATGATATGTGCCAATATGTCACTTTTCTGAATGACTCGCTCATTACTAAGATCTGATTGGCTGGTGAAACATTAAAAAGGGATCTAGCTCCACCTCCTGAACCGTTTGTAATTTCTTGCCAACAGTTGCAGCACTGTGAGACAAACTTTACTCTTTGCAGATTCTTTTCACTGGAATTAAACACAAATGTGCGTTGGATCTTACCACCAGCGGCAGCGTGCAGATGAGGAAGATGATGGTCATGAAGACCAGCATGATCAGGTGCTCCACCTCAGCAACCATGGACACCGTCCTGTGCTCGTTGTTTGACCTCCCAGTCACCATCACAGAACCGTATCTTTTCCGTCGTTTGTACATCTTGTAGAGATGGTACACCACAAACCCGTTGCATGCCACAATGGTGAGTACCAGGACCAGCAGAATGGAGGCGTACAGGTTAGCATAGGCACGATCCTCCTTCTCGAGTGGGTTCATGTCACTGAAGCACCATGTGCCGGGGCAATACTGCACGTACCTGCCAAATCCCACAAAAGGAAGTAGACAGAACAATATAGATGCAATAAACATCACAGGAATGATGATATAAGCCCAGTTCTTGGTGACGTGTCGGCTGTACAGGTAGGGGTACCCGATGGCGAAGCAACGGTCCAGTGCCATGGCAAAGAGGAGCGACACGGTGGCCAGGCTGAAGAAAGTCATGCCGACGCCAAAATAATAACACACGCTGCTGGTGCCGTTGCCTAAAGGCATCATCTTAACCAGAGTCATGTTCCTAGCATACGACAGCTGCACCACTGGAGTGATCATGCAGGTCCCGGTCAGGTCTGTGACCACCAGCGACATGATGAGGATGTGGAACAACCCGGTGCGCTGCGTGTACCTAGCTCTGGCGTTCCTTCGTCGTCGGATTTCCAGGATCACCAGGGCAGTGATGTTGCCGAAAATGCCTAAGCCAAACATGATGGCGCTGGTCAGCCGGCTCTCACCAGGGCTCAGAGTTTCCTTCAGGTGGCACGTGTCGTTATAGATATCCATAGTGGCAGAAAGGTTCCACGATTCCCATAAATGCTTGAAAAATGAGACTTTTAGTTTTTGTCTGGAGTCATCCTGTCAGACCTAAAAGAAGAAAAATAATCATTAAATTTATATCTGCAACTGTTAAACTATTAACCCAGTTGCATCTCTTCCAAATGAAACACTTGACAGTACCATATTCAAAGAGCAGAGTTCTTCAACCCTGCTCCTTGTGAAGGGGGTCTTTGCAGTCACTAATGCCCCTTTTCCACTAGTGCCACTTAGTTTAGTGTCGGTACGGTCAGTGTCGGAACGGGTCAGTTCTGATACTTTTTCACTGAGGTTCCAGTCTAGTTCCAGTGGATGTGTTTTTGGTGGTTGGTGGAGGTAGTTTTTGAGTTTTCGAAAAAAAAGTTAATGCGCAAAATGAAAGATGGAAACACATTTGCCGAATAAGTTCTGAAATTTTAAAAATTTGCTAAAAATTCAAATTAAAATTAGATGGAAAAGATGGAAACAACTAATGTCGCTGCTACAATTGAAAAAAATGGCTCCTGGAGTTGTTGTTGTAAAGGCAGCTCAGACACAACCAGTGACTCCGCCCCCTAGCCAATGAGTGACGAACAGTGTTCCGACGTCGCATTTTGGTGTCGACTGGGACCACTTGGAACCACAACGAAGTAGGTACTAAAAAAAGGGCTGGTTCCAAGAATCTGGCCTAATGGAAATGGCTTACACTAAAAGTGGCACTAGTGGAAATTTACTTTTTATGGGAGTTTCCTGGATGGGGMGGGGGGGGGGGGGTGAAAGACATGATTGGTCTATTTGACTGTTTTGGGTGGGGTTTGAAGAAGCCATAACAGGGATATTCAGCTAAATTTCTCCAGGGGCCACAGTTACTGCAGGCCAACAGCTCAGGGGCCAAACATCCAGCAATTAAAGTCATTATGTAAATAAACCAAGTTTTACAAATATCTGTTACCTTTGAAATAGTTTATTTTGCTGCATTTAAACATGAACACAACATATAGAACCCTATAAAAGTAGTGATAATAAACCAACAAAAACAAAAATAACACATTATGCCGCCTATTACCACAAATATTGTTTTGATATCTCTGACGTGTCAACTTTTTAAACCAAATTTATTTTCACTTTCATAATTTTATTTTCAACTGCTTGTAAATTTAACTGTCTTGAATGTGGTTTTTACCAGCTTGTAGCCAAGATTCTGATGTTTCTGTAGACACCAAACATGTCTATGTTTAACTAAAGGAACACATAGTAATTAAATTAGAAAACTGGGGGGTTGGGCTTAAAAGAAGAATGAACCAATTGGCGGGCCAAACTTTGGTCACTCACGGGCTGCCAGTTGACTAGCCCTGACATAACAGTTTGGTTGCATGAACGTTTGGTAGCTGTGGGAAGTGTATCAATTCAGCTCGGTTGGAACGGCCAGAAAGCACATAAAAAAGATCACTATTTTTTTAACATGAAAATTTATATTKGTCACAACTTGAGACAGGAAGATGAAATTTGAGCATCATACATGTGGAGGGATGTGAAACAATTTGTCTCAGTCAAAACAGCCCTAATGAGTGTGGAAAAATATTGCTAATTTTCAATATGAGTATTAATTAAAATTCAAGACAGGAAGGTGCTAGCTCAAAGGATGGGCAACCCTGGTCCTCGAGGGCCGCAACAMTGCATGTTTTACTTGTTTCTCTCTGCTTCAACACACCTGATTTGAATAAATGAGTGATTATCAGGCCTCTGCAGAACTTGGAAGAGATTCAATGAGTGAATCAGGTGTGTTGGATTAGGGAAAAAAGTAAAACATGCAGTGCTATGGCCCTTGAGGAACAGGATTGCCCAACCTTGCGTTGGCTGCACAAAATTTCTAATCAATAAATTATATGTACATAATTTTACTAACACACTAATACACTAACAGAGTTATGTAGATCAGTACTTCCTTTAAGTAAATCTTGGCCAACAATCACATCTTCCAACTTCTTCTCCCACACCCAAACACCTCKCACTGTACTTTAACTATCCTGCACATTTCAGCTGTTTCCCTGCTTCGGCACACCTGATTCGAATTATTAAACTACCTCAGAAAGTCATCAGGTTTACTCATTCATTTCTATCAGGWGTGTTGAAGCAGGGAAACAGCTGAAACATGCAAGACAGTGGGTCATGAGAAACGGTAGAAGACCTTTGCCTAGAGCAGTGGTTCCCAAACTTTTTATCTTCTGACCCATAAAATATTCATGGCAAAAACTTGTGACCCCAAATATTACTGGTCTGAGTACACAAACTTCAATAACCCTAATAACCCTAAAAACACAGGCTTTTTGACAATCTAAACAGCTTGTACACAAATATAAATACTTATTTA